CCCACTCCCCCCATCTGCCTCTATTTTCCCCTCATGGGAAAATTAAGGTCACAAACACTCTTTAGGTAGGATTATAACCCAGATCTCCTGGCACACAGTGCTGTGTGAAGCTACTACACCACACAGTTTTACTAAACATGATCTCATTTATTCTTTCCAGGGATTTCTGAGGCTAGTGAGGTTGATTGCAAGAGTAATTTTATTCTGTTCCAACAGACTCAGGAACTGAGGTCTAGGAAGACCAAAGGAGGAAAGAGACTCTTCCATATAGAGATTAAAATGAAGCCACATTCAATAAAATAAGAATAATATTAAATAGCAAGATATTCTAGATTTTTATTATTTCTTTTCTCCTTTTCATAGTGCTGATTATTCAGTTTTCGCTATTTTTCTAATTTTGGCTTTTGGGACAGTGATGACAAATCAGTTTGCCAAACATAAGAGTATGCACTCAGTAAATGTTGACCATTGTATTTGACATGAAGGGTGCATTATTTTCCTATTGCTGCTGCAGCAAATTACAACAGATTTTTGGTGGCTTAAAACAACACAAAGTTATTATCTTACAGTTCTGTAGGTCAAAAGTCTGAAATGGATTTCACTTTAAAATTGAGGTGTTGGCAGGGCTTGTTCTTTCTGGAGGCTCTAGGGGAATCTTTTCCAGCTTCTAGCGGCCGTCCACTTTCCCTGGCTCATGGCCCCCCTTGCTCCATCTTCAAAGCCAGCAAATTAGGGCAATTCCTTCTTATGCTGCCATCTCTATTGGTTCTTTTCTGCCTTCATCGTCTTCTTTTAATAACCCTTGTGATTACCCTGGTTGCACAGTGGTTGAGAGTTTAGCTGCTAACCAAAAAGATCAGCAGTTCAAATCCACCAGCTATTCCTTGGAAACCCTATGGGGCAGTTCTACTCTGTCCTATAGGGTCGCTATGAGTTGGAATTGACTCAATGGCAACAGGTTTGGTTTTTTGGTTTTGTGATTATCTTGGGCTCACCCAGATAATTCAGAATAATCTCCCTATTTTAAGGTCAATTGATTAGCAAACTTAATTCCATCTGCAACCTTAATTTCTCCTTGGCATGTAGCTAACATAGTCAACAGATTCCAAGAAGTAGGGTGTGGATGTCTTTGGGGAACCATTTTTCTGTCTCAACAAGAGGCAAAGCTCGAAATGTCTACTCATTAGGCAGATTTCCTACGGACGATAGGCTTGTGTCTCACTGGCCACCTGTTCAGAAAAGTGATAGAAGCCACATGGAATATCCTGCAGCTCCCTGACTATTCTTGATAAACGGCCTTCCAAATCATCTACGTATAATCATGTAATGTAGGCTTTTTTGTTTGTTGCTTTTTGATTTTTGCATTTACAGGGAACACTGGATATCGAGGTGTCATGAACTGAATTATGTCCCCCAAAAATGTGTGTGTCAATTTGGCTGGGCCATGATTCCTGGTATTGCATGATTTTCTTATATGTTATAAATCCTGCCTCTATGATGTTAATGAGGGAGGATGGGTGGCAGTTGTGTTAGTAAGGCAGGACTCAATCTACAAAATTGGATTGTGTCCTGAGGCAATTTCTTGAGATATAAAAGACAGAAGTGAACAGAGAGACAGGGGTACCTCATACCACTAAGACAGCAGTGCCAGAAGCAGAGCTGTGTCCTTTGGACCCCGGGTCCCTGCACGGAGAAGCTCCTAGTCTGGGGGAACACTGATGAGAAGGCTGACAGAGAGAGAAAGACTTTCCCTGGAGCTGACACCCTGAATTAGGACTTTTAGCCTACTTTACTGTGAAGAAATAAATTTCCGTTTGTTAAAGCCATCCACTTGTGGTATTTCTGTTGTAGCAGCACTAGATGACTAAGACAGAATTTGGTACCGAGGGAGTGGAGTGCTGCTCTAACAGAAACCTAGAATGTGGAAGTTGTTTTGAAACTGTGAATGGATAGAGCAGCAGCAGCAGCAAAGGACCAGCAGTAGAGAACCTGCAGCGTCAGAGAACCAGCAGCAGCAGAACCAGGAGACCAGTGCAAGACGGTGCTGGAGCTGCCCCACAGAGCAAGAGAGCTGAGTGCCTGCGCAAGGGAGGCTTTCTGGTGGAGTGGGGTGCCTCTGGGCACTTATTGGTGGAGCTACCGAGCTTTGGAACATGTGCCCCAGCAGGGCAGATGCAGGCATGAGGCCCGAGGGCTGAGAAGCCACAGGAAACAGAAGCAGAAGCTGAAGAGACAAGGAACAGAAGAAGCCGAACTGCCTCAGTCTCAGAAGGTATGGCCAGGACCTCTGGGGTTTCAAAGGGTGGAGCCATGGCCTCTGGTGTTTCTAAAGGTGGAGTCGCTACTCAGATGGACTAGGAGAATGGTGCACCTAAAGTCAAGGGAGCAGAGTTGCTGTCCCAGTGGGCCTGGAAGGCGGAGGTGAAGCCCAGGGCCTCCACTCAGAATGTAGAGACTGTGGCCAATACCTAGAGTCTGGAGGGCAGGGCTATTGTGTAAATTGTCTCAGAGAACAGAGGATTATTTTCAAACCTTGAGGGCTAATGTAATGTGCTCTACTGACTTGCTTGGTGTCTGTTATCACTTCTTTTCCTCTAGTTTCTCCCATTTGTAATGGAAATGTCTAGCTTGTGCTTGTTCTGCCGTTGTACGTTTAGAAGCAGATAACCTGTATTCTAGATTTCACAGATGAAGAGGAATTTTTGGATTTTAGACTTGGAGTTGAATTAAGACTTTAGCTATGATATGATGGGGTGAATGTTTTACATGTGGTAAGGACATGAATTTTGGGGGGGCCAGAGGGTGGAATGTCATGGATTGAATTATGTCCTCCCAAAAATGTGCGTGTCAATTTGGCTGAGCCATGATTCCTGGTATTGGGTGATTTTCTTATAAGTTGTAAATCCTGCCTCTATGATGTTAATGAGGGAGGATGGGTGGTTGTTGTGTTAGTAAGGCAGGACTCAATCTACAAAATTGGATTGTGTCCTGAGGCAATTTCTAGAGATATAAAAGAGAGATGTGAGCAGAGACACGGGGGGTGGGAGGTGGGGGGAACCTCATACCACCAAGAAAGCAGCGCCAGGAGTAGAGCGTATCCTTTGGACCCCGGGTCCCTGCACAGAGAAGCTCCTAATCTGGGGGAATATTGAGACAAAGCCTTTCCCTGGAGCTGATGCCCTGAATTAGAACTTCTAGTCTACTTTACTGTGAAGAAATAAATTTCTGTTTGTTAAAGCCATCCACTTATGGTATTTCTGTTGTAGCAGCACTAGATGACTAAGACACCAGGTTATCAACTGAGGTGGAGGGGGTGCTGTGAGGCGGGGAGGAGTGCATGAGCCCGCTGAGAGTAGCAACTAGTCCTGAGACGTGGGAATGAGCAGGAACGGGAGGCAGACTGGTGGAAACCCAGTTCTTAGTCAGTGGGATAGGAGAGAGTTTCAGTGGTTGAGAAATTATCTAGACTTCAATGTGTCTGAATCACTACCAGTCCTGTGCACATTTGAATGTACTCCATATGTAAGATTGTTATATGATGTGAAAGAGAGGGTAAGGGGGCATCATTTTGTTCTAATGAACACATTCTGAATATTATCACAAGACAATTGGTATCTATTTAAAAGGTCAGGCAAAAATTATTCTATGTTACTCCAACACTGATTTATGTGTCTACTGTCCCAACACTCCTCTTAAATACGAGGTGAACTTGGGATCTCATAATTGAATACCAGACAAAACACGTGACTTACAAGAAAGACCCTGAAATAGAGCCCAACAGCAATTCCAGGAACAACGGTTGTTTTCTGTTAACAATGGGACAGGAAGGATGCAATGCATCGTTTCCTGGTTACAGTTTCAGATGCTAGTGAGGTCAGCCCCTCCTCTATAGAGGCCAGTTATGCAACATCATGGTAATTTTGAGAATTTAATTCAGATGTTGCCAGCTAAAGCTGATATAATTGGAAAATGGTCAGCTAGATGGGGCCCGTTTTATATTTCAGCTCAGAGGGGGAGCAGCCTTTTAATCAGCCTGCTGGTCAATAAGACAGAAGCCCAAGGAAACGCAGATCCACAGTTGGCCCACACAACAGCTCTCATTTCTGAAACGCTGTGTCCTAGCCACCCCATAGAAGCCTGAAAAAGGTAACTCCTTATCTCCTTCTGCCTTAAAACATAAAGCAGCAGTGTTTTTCCAACATGGAATATTGTAAGGCATGACTGGTGTTGGTAGAAGGGAATTCTTACCCCCTTCCTATTTCTGTAATTTGGGATTTGTCTATGAGCATCATCTATGATTTTGTGCATAAATTTTCATGACTTAAGGAATTACAGTAGTGATTCAGAGGAGTTCCTGAGGGCACTAAATTTGACCTGGGTAAGACTGGACTTCCTGGGTGATACAAATAGTTAATGTGCTTGGCTGCTAACCTAAAGGTTGGAAGTTTGAGTTCACACAGAGGTATCTTGGAAGAAAGCCCTGGCAATCTACTTCCAAAAAATCTGCTATTGAAAATCCTACTGGGCACAGTTCTACTCCGATACACATGGGGTCTCCACGAGTTGGAATCTACTCCACAGCAGCTACATACATAAGACCAGGCTTCTTCACAACCTGGGAGGTGAAGATCCTAGATCGACTTTAAAGAAATTCCAGGGTGTTCAAGCAGAATAGAGCCGAGCGCCTACACATCACCTTAAATAAAGGACGCTACTGCTGTTTTCATTTTCTCACCCTATTAGCATTTCCGCTTTTCAGCTTTGAAAATTTGCTCTTAAAAGAGAAAACAGTACTACAGAGCTCCCTACAATGATGGAAGAGGCGCAGGGTTTGGCAGACTTCAAAGCTTCTTTGAAGAGGCTCAGAAACCTCAATTAACCGTAAATTGTCATTCCAAGACACATGGTATAGTGACTCAGAAATGTCTACTATTTCCTAAGCGAAACAAAACCTGACTTTAGCACAGACATCTGAGTAAAAATCACCTTTTAATACTTGCCTTCGTTTTGTTTTGGTAAATCCTCTATCGCACTCAGCATCCCAGGAATTGTTTTACTGACAGTTTCATAAACAGAGAGACTGAAATTACAAAACAGCTGAAAGAAGTTGGGAATGTCCCAACTTGGCAGAAGATCTGCTTTCTTCATTGGCTCTTTGGATAAAGCTGGAAAAAAGTGAGGCTCAACTAAGTCTGTATCTGACATGAAATATGATTGAAAAGCCTGGTCAAATTCTTGCTGCATCTGTTTGAAGACGTTCCAACTCCTGTTAAATAGAGATGCCACGTCCACAGTCAACCGACTGAACACATCCTCTATCTGGGCCACGTGTGCGTCTTCCTCAATGAGCTTTTCACTGATGGGGAGATCTCTTTCATTATCTTCATGGAGAGGAAACAAAAACTGATATATTGCCATGAAAAACTGCTCAATCTGTGAGGTGGGGCAAGGGGCAGAAACGGAAGAAGAAGTTAATTTTCTGTCTGGGCCATTTTTTAATCACAAATTTTAAAGCTGACTTATAGTAGTCATTCTAAACTAAGAACAATTCTGGGCAAGGGAGGAAAAGTGATTAACTTAAGATAATTTACTAATACACTTATACCTGGCTTTGATTTTGACTGTGGAAATAGGATATGAGATTCCTCCTGCTTTACGGTTGCCCACTGATGGCCCAAGAAGGCCTGTTTTTCCGTATTATTGAGGAGCCACAGCCTGACGTGCTGATGGCAGTTGGCATGCCCTGGCCTCCAGGGCACTGTGGAGATTGCCCAAAAACCATGATGAAGACTCTTGTCTTTCACCTCTGTCTTAGTTCTTTCTCCTTCAGTAGAATGTCATTAGCGTCTTCATACTCTCTTTTTTCTCTTTTCATAAATTAGTCTCAGGAAAGGAAAAGATCGATATGTTCATACTGATCTATAGCTTAATGCGTTACCCTTCTTAGGAATGGTCCATGTTGGCAGTGATCACAGCCCTCCTCAGCTATAGTCAAAAGAATGAAGGTCTCTGACTATAGGATTTTGGGTACCACCTCAGGGGGAGAAGCCTTGCTGACAGTCACACCATGCTCTATCTCATCTATGTGCACCTGAGTCCAGGCAGAACATAGTTGCCCTTATACGTCAGTGATGTGGCCATGCTGAGTGTTCTGGAACATAGTGACTATAGAGCATCAGTGCCGCAGCATCCCACTGCAGGTCAAAGAATCCTTCAGGAATTCTTAGAGGACTGTGCTGTTCTCAAAAAATTATCTGGGTGAATTGTCTGCCTCTCCCTCTGCCAGCTTGTGTTTACTTGACCTCATCCACAAAAACAAAACTTTAAAATCCCAAGAAATGTTCATGGAGTCAGTCACACAATTGGCACAGCTGGGAATGGCCCCTAAATCTCCTGACTTCCAGCTAATGCTATTCCACCATATTCTGGTGTATGGAGGGGGTATAAAAATAGAGCAGATGCAATTATCAGTGGAGGTAAATTAACTTGGCATGTTAATTATCCTACGGGTTCCTTCCTTTGTAATTGGGCATGGCATTGCCAAGCCAGGAACATACTCTAATTAGTGCATGCTCTAGTATGGAGAGCGAAATTTCACTCAATTTCATATTCAGCTCACTTCTTGAAGGGGAAGGGAAATCCAGGCCAATAGAACTGGAATCTTTTAGGGAGCAGAGCTCAGCCTGTGCAGGTCACCACCTTCTGTGATTCCTTATGCCCAGAAGATAGCTAGATAGAAGAGGACAAAAAAGAAACCATGCCAGTCCTATATTACATACACGCACAGGGTTAAAGGCGATGTGTGTACACACATACCACACAAAAGAGGCCACGTGCATTGAAGGAGAGATGAAGGAAGCAGAGAATGTCTTCAACTGTTTGGCCTCCAGGGGAAAAGATTAAAGCAGGTTGAAATCAGAGGCTATAATACTACTATTCAGCCCTGAATAGCAGTCCTTAAGAGCTCCGCTGCTAACCAAAAGGTCAGCAGTTCAAATTCACCAGCTGCTCTTTGGAAACCCTATGGGGCAGTTCTACTCTGTCCCATAGGGTCGCTGTGAGTTGGAAACGACTTGACGGCACCTAACAACAACAACAACAGAATGCAATTTAGCAAACATTTGTTGAATACCTTCATTGCTCAAAGACAAATGAAATGTGGTCCCTGCTCTCAGAGAGCTTACAATCTAGTGGGAATGTGTTTACAAATAATACAAAGCAAAAAACTAAGAGAGATACATGCAGTGTCATTAAAAGGAAGGATAAACCCTGAATGGATGTTCTAACTTATACATTGTGTATACAAAGGTGATAGTATGAACATTAAATTCTAGATCGCAAAGGGCCAATATCAAAACGGGCATCTTTATTCTAAATATTAATATAAACTAATAAAAAATAGATAAACTGAGAGAGGTTCCTTAAGATCTCTGAAATCTGGAGCTCTATTTCTCTCTTACCGTGTTTTTTACGGAGGACCAACTAGGTTGGCAGGTTGTATAATATCTCATGCAGTTACTTTCCAGGCAAGACCTGCATTCATCCCACGAATCTGTCAAAGACACCTGGCATAGCCTCTCTTCCTCTTCCAGATGTTCTTGAACTTCATTCATAAGTTTCAGGGCTTCCTAATTAAGAAGCAGAAACAAACATTCCGTTTCCATTTCATGATTCTATGTGTATCTTAGTTGATTTCCCTTTTTAAAAATGTGCATATTCTAAACAATCTCTTCAGCCTTTCTCCTTCAGCAGCTAACAGATCGACTCCAAAGCTTTCAGTTTCACTAATTGCACTGACCGAACGTACAGATCTTATTCATGTGTTTATTTATTCATTCAACAAGTGTTCACTGGGCGCTTGCTACGTGACAGGCATCGCGCTAGATGGGGGCTGAATACTACTCCAGAGGAACGCCTGCCATTTGTTTACTTGTCTGACTTTACATCCACTCCAGGGGGAGGGATGTGGGAGGTGAGTTTTAGGGCTTAAAAAGCTGACACTTTCTATTTCGTTTATTTGTGCTGCCTTTAATTTTTGTATGTTCTTAAACATTGCAAGAAAGCGCAATCCTTGTACATGAAATTTTCCCTGTAAATTACATTCTAATTGCAAAGACGCTGTGCTTTTAGCATCTTGATTCTTCGTGTCGCTTTTCCGAGCACGCCCCCTTGTGGTGCCTTGTTTGTTTTGCCAACCACTGCTCTGGGTGGTCAGGAGCCCAGCGAAAGTGAACGCTTTTCCCCTGAGAATCACAGCCTGCCCCCCACCCCCAGGCCCCAACGGGGGCAAAACAGACTTCTTTTTCTCCTCTGCCTAGACCCCTGGCCTCCCTGCTAGCCCAAAGGCAGGGTTTCCCCCCGTCTGAGGCTATTTACCAGTAGCCGTCCAGTCGATTCCGACCAATGGGGACCCCATGCGTGTCAGAGTACAACCGTGCTTCATAGGGTTTTAAATGGCTGAGTTTTTTGGAAGTAGATCGCCAGGCCTCTGTTCAGAGGAGCCTCTGGATGGACTCCAACGTCCAACCTTTTGGTTAGTTAGCATCCAAATGTGTTAACCGTTTGCACTACAAGGATCTCTAGTCACGGGGAATTAGGAGCATCATGGAGCCATCCATAAGAACACAGCCTCAGGGCTAAGTTTGAGTCCCTTAAGAGAAAATCGCATTAGGAAGAAAAGTCTCTGTACCCATTTATTGTGCGTTTTTATCTAACAGAAAAGAAAAAGAAATCACCCTTTCCTGGCATATTAAGCCCCAAAAACCTCCCCGTACTGACTCTCTTCCGCCTCTCCTCTGCCCTGCTGGATTTTTCAGCTGACCTCATTGCACAGCGTCCTGGTGCTAAGCCAGGTGGCATTCGCAGAGGCCCGCATACGAAAATTGGCAGGACACCAGCCTGCCACATGCACCCTTCGACCCAGACAGGATTTTCTTGTCTCCTTGGGCTTTGCAGAATAATTTTGGAATCCTACAGCTTCTCCAGAGATGCTGCCTCACCTTATACCTTCTGATTTTCTCAGTCAGTCCCAATTGTAAATATTCTGCTTATTGTCACCGTAACCAGAAATCCCAATATTTCCAGCTCTAAATTACACTGACAATGTACCCTTGGGCAAATTATGTAACATCTCTAAGCCTCAGTCTTATCTTTAGCAAATAGGAATAGTAATAGGATCTACCCCTTAAACTATTGTAGCAAGTGAGGTCAGCAAGCAGGGCACCTAGCCCATCATTGTTCTCTCTCAGACTTCTTTCGTTTGTCCCCAGAAGCATGACAAAAACCATCTACATAGGTCCCAAGTTTCGGTCCTGAAATGTTGCCATGGATGAAGTAGATCTCCGGTTTAGGGATGCCCTATTTAGTCCTTCCATTTCCCCCTAAATATCCCAGCATTGACAGATTTCATACTTAGAACTCTATTCCTGTAGTTCAAAACTTATCAAAATACCATATGAACCTGGTGTGGGGACAAATCACGCTGCTCTAGGGTTTCCCATTTCGTGAAGGGTAAGTTTCAGACGCTCTCACTAAATACTAAAGGGGAAGAGGTGGGGACGGGGACCGTGATGATGCAGGGTCACCTGAAGATGGCATGCTCTGTATTGGAAGACTAGGGGCACCAACATCACGTTTGCCAATTCATAATTTGTCTAAACTGACCTTTATTCTAGGGTTAAAGTAACTCTAGGGAAGGCAATTCAGGGTTAAACAGGTTTCTTTTTTTTTTAATTAACTTTTTAATTGAGAGCTCACATCAAACCTTAAGTGCATAATTGAATGGCTTTTTACACAGTAAGTTGTTTTGTTTTTTTTAAAGAAATAATGAAAATTCTCCTGGTTCCTGGGATTCTTCAGGGTCAGAACTGAAACCACCACTAGTTTACCTGACACCCTTCCTCGATTCTTCCCGTAGTACTAAACCCTCGGCTTGCCAGGAGGCTGGGGAAAGAAAGAAGCAGAGTATCCCTGGGTCCCTATGCACAACGTATGCTGACTTTCGCCCCTTCCATTAAGGACAGCATTGGGGTAACCCGTTAATTAACATCTCAAACTCCAGTTTCCTTAGCTGTCAAATGAGAGCAGGTGTTGGAAGGATTCAGTGTGATAATGTGTTTTGTAAAGGGCTGTAAAGGATATCTGGTGTCATTACCCCCAGATGGTGAGACTCACAAGTCTACCAGGGATGAAACTAGTTTGAGGCGCTTCCACATTTTCCTAATGAGAAGCTATTTTTGATATCCTCAAAATGTTTTGATTGCTGCGCTAAGGAGGAGGGCTTGCAGCTGCTGGTCAGGCAACCTCCTTTCTTTGCCAGGAGCCCTGCCTGACTGTGGGGCGGTAGGTGTGACGGTGCCAGCAACCTCATCCAGTCTGGTGACAGGCCAGCATGCAGCTCCGGGTCAGCCTGTCAGACAGCCCTACCCAATGCTTACTGGACTCCCAAAGGTCGCGATGCTCAGAAGGAGGAGAAGTCAAGCAGTTTCTAAAACCCAGTGGCCCTCAACTGGGGTGCACACACACTGGGGCATAGGAAGGAAGTATTAGAACTTCTCCTTGTGCTTTTTTTTTTTTTAATTAAAAAAATAGATGAGGCTATTGTATTACTTAATATACAGGTGCTCTCTTGAGGTGTTTACGTCAGACAGTTGCATGTGGCCAACTGTACGTATGAACCCTGGGGAAGAGTGGGCCCTCCACATCCCAGAAGCAGTGGCAGTCTTGTTCACTTGCAGCCAATTACAATAAATCGCAATTTATGGAGACTCAGGTTGATCCATGAAGTTTATTATCCAGTTTTTCCTAAACTGTTGTTGTTAGCTGCTGTCAAGTTGGCCCCTGACTTATGGCAACCCCATGTGTGTCAGAGTAGAACTGTGCTCCATAGGGTTTTCAAGGCTGATTTTTTGGAAGTAGATTGTCAGGCCTTTCTTCCTACTCTGTTTTAGTCTGTTTTAGCATCAGAGCAACATGCAAGCCTCCACTGAAAGATGGTCGGTGGCTATGTGTGAGGTGCTTTCGCTGGGATTCAAACCTGGGTCTTCCACATGGAAGGTAAGAATCCTACGACTGAACCAGCAATACCCTCTTTTACTAAGCTAACCATCACAAAATAGACAGGAGGCTTAAAAAGTTTCTTGCAAAAAGCCCTGTCAGATTAAAAAAATACAAATAATTTAAGTTCAAATGGACAAAAAGCAAATGGCAGAGCTGACACATCTTCATTGGCCACATGACAAAGTAAACACATGATGATCTAGTCAGATCTGGCAAGCTGGCTAGAAATTTCCAAATATCTAAAAGATTATTTGAAATATGGACTTCTATCCAGCCTAATGATAATGATAGTACTTCATATAATAATTTATAAATAAATAAATATGCATATATTTAAATATGCATATATTGAGGAGTGAATGCTAACAAATTTTTTTAGTAATAGGGATGTGAGATAAAAAACTTTGGAGATCACTGATCTAGCCAAAATCTCCCCCAAACACTTTTGCCTTGATATCTTAACTCAGAGGAGACTAAGTATAATGAAGCATTTTGAGAATGCAGCACTTCCCAGGGATGAATTCCCCCAAATTCCTGGATTTGGGGTTCAGTCCAGACCCTACAGAGCCCCGTTCTACAAGGAATATGTTCTTTGAGGAAATTTGAAGTTTCCTTCAAACTTTTCCTCCAATAAAGGTTGCTGTCCAGAAAAATTATCAGGGAAAATAAGTAATTCATCAATTGCACTAACAAGCGCAGTATTTGATCTGCATATGTTTAGGAACAGATACAATTTACAGTGATGGTACCTGCTTTTCTGCTCTGCATTTCTTCAGAGTTTCCATTAGGTTGGTATGTTCTTCCTCTCTTCTTTCCATCCTGATTTTCATCTGCTTAATACCAATCAAAGCCTTCTTCACCTCTTCATCTACCTCTATCTCCTCAGACTCAGAAGAACCTAAAAGATATGTTCAGTTTTGTCTTTCATGCCTGATCAGATTACAAAACGAAGAGTTCACCAATTTTTCATGTCCCCTAAATAGAGGCTTAATTGTTCTTTTATAGCTTCAAACTCTGATAATGAATTGGCTGTCAGCTGCCACATGGGTCCAGCTGCCACATGGATGGGACCTTATGTTCCTCAGTTCTGAGCTCTGGAACAAGGCAGAGTTAATTTAACCTCATTCTGGTCATTTTCCTTAGGGCCTGTTTTAATTTATCCATTTTTTTTCCCTTTCACTTAAGACTCAAGTGTGTTTATATTAGAGATAATTTAGAATTTCCTTCACAAACATTTACATTATATGCCCAACTGGGGACCTTAAACAGTGAAAAATTTCCTTTGCTTTTAGCTTCAATTACCTTCCAAGCAGGCATCAAACTCAGAAAGTATCCTCAGACAACGCAGGATTCCTTAATAACCCAACAGACATCTCATACGCACTTCTCCTAAGCCTTTAAACCAGTTACTATGGAGTAAACCCTGACTCATGGCGACCCCATGGGCGTCAGAGTAGAACTGTGCTTCACAGAGTTTTCAATGGTCGATTTTTCAAAAGCAGATTGCAAGACCTTTCTTCTGAGGAGCCTCTGGGTGAGCTCAAACCTCCAACCCTTTGGTTAGCAGCTGAGAACATTAACTGTTTGCACCACCCAGGGACTTCAATAAGCATTCTTTGCTGTTGTTAGTTGCTATTGAGTCAATTCCAACTCATGGCGACCCCATGTATGCAGAGTAGAACTGCTCCATAGATTTCAAGGCTGTGACCTTTCTGAAGCAGATTGCCAGGCCTTACTTCCGAGGTGCCTCTGGGTGGGTTTGAATCGCCAGCCTTTCGGTTATAGTCCAGGGCTTCACCATTTGCACCACCCGGGGTCTCCAGTAAGCATTTGTTGCTGTTGTTGTTGCATGCTGTTGAGTCCATTCCGACTCATACGAACCTATAGGACAGAGAACTGCCCCATAGGGTTTCCAAGGAGTGGCTGGTGGATTCGAACTGCCAATCTTTTGGTTAGCAGCCTGAGCTCTTAACCACTTCACCTGCAGGGCTCCAATAAGCATTTAGTGGGCATAAATTCATTGTCATGCTCTCTTCATAACAGCTAATATGGCTTCCTAAGGAGCTTATCGTTGCCTCCAAATTTAATTATAGATTCCTAATCAGCTACAGCAGCCCTGGGAGTGCAGTGGTTAAGAGCTACAGCTGCTAACCAGAAGGTTCGAAGTTTGAATCCACCAGCTGCTCCTCGGAAATCTTATGGGGCAGTTCTGCTTTGTCTGATAGGTTCACTGTGAGTTGGAACCGACTCGACAGAGCCTAACAACAACAACAGTCAGCTGCAAAGGAGCCCTGGTGGCACAAACAGTTAAGTGCTCAGCTGTTAACTGAAAGGTTGGAGGTTTAAATCCACACAGTAGCTCTGTGGGGGAAAGACCTGACAATCTGCTTCCGTAGAGAATACAGCCGAGAAAATCCTGTGGGGCAGTTCTATTCTGTCACATGGGGTCTCTATGAGACGGGATCAACTCAACGGCCCCTAACAACAACGATCAGCTACAAGGAGTCCCTGGGTGCTGCAAACAGCTAAGCACTTGGCTGCTAACCAAAAAATACAGCCGAGAAAATCCTGTGGGGCAGTTCTATTCTGTCACATGGGGTCTCTATGAGACGGGATCAACTCAACGGCCCCTAACAACAACGATCAGCTACAAGAAGTCCCTGGGTGCTGCAAACAGCTAAGCACTTGGCTGCTAACCAAAAGGTTGACAATTTGAATCCACCCAGAGGTGCCTCAGAAGACAGGCCTGGTGATCTGTTTCCAAAAACCTTGAAAACCCTACACAGCAGTTCTGCTCTGCACACATGGGGTCTCGCCATGAGCTGGAATCGACTCAATGGCAAACAACGGTCAGCTACATTTTAGCCTGTTTGTTTTTAAGTGTTTAGTACCCAAAGCGTATCTCATCGAGCAAAGGCCACCAGTTAATGATCACAGAGCAACCAGATTCGATGTCATTATAATCCATTCTTTCACTATTTAAGACTAATGGCACAGATTAATCGTTTAAATTTTCTAAATGCTAGAAAAGTATTTCACTGTTCATTAAAACCGTGCTTAGATGAAACCAAACATCTGGATGATACCAAAAAAAAAAAGCAGTCTAAAAGTTGGCAAGTTTTATCTGCATGATAGCAAACATCTGGATGCATGAACATTCTTAGATACTTGATTGGAATTTTCTATTTTTACCCAGATGTTTGGCGTCACGTATACTTGGTTTAAGTGCCTAGAAAACATTTTGCTGTGAAACTCAAGGGTTGTCATGAGTACACTTATCTCTCAACTGTAAATCACCGTAAATGCCAACAGGGCATACAAACAGGGCATAGCCCAGATAAAGAAAGCAAACATACTCTTCAGGTTTCCACCGATAGTGGTTTTGTCCTTCCAAGTAGGTGCGCAGTGACAATTTTTCAACCACAGCAGATACACAGTAAACACCCAGAGTGGCGACTTCATGTTCCCGCTGTTCCTGCAAAGGAAAAATAAACCTCATCAAATGCCTTCCCTTATGTTATTTTCTGCCGGCATCAATGGCAAACACATGGAGCTGCAGAGCCTTTTTCTGTCCATTTTTCTTTATGACTTTAGACAACTTATGCTAATGTGCCTAGGACACTAGGAAGCTTGAAATTTAAGTTAAAAAAAAAATACCAAGTCTCTGTTTAATTTACATTCTTTAGGACAGTTACATAAGATCATCATCTCAAGTACTATTGCTGCCTCTAAGACTTTAAACTGAAGGCAGTGAGCAATGTGGATCACAGACGTACAGAATTCAAACTTCGTTTTATTTGCGCGTCAACCATAAACATCCCTAAATATAGAATGAGTTAAAATGATGTCAGAGGGATTTTTTTTCCTTCAAAATTGAGTCCACAAGTGAGTTTTTACTAGATGATTCAATAATTTTTTTTTTAAATCGAAGCAGCCTCACATAGTTTTCTCATACCTCTTGTAATGCCCACCAAGCTTTGTGAAGAGTGAACAGTTAATTTTTTTCTTCTCAGATAATGGATTTCCTTTAATATTTAATCTGATTTGCATGAGTTATAAATATTTCAAATACAAATGTTTAAAATTTACTAAGAAAAATTAAATAAAACAACTATGTTTTCATGAAGTTAAATATAGAAAATAACCCCAGGCCGTTATTTATCTGCTTTATGTATATTTGCTAATTTGAATAAACAAAAATAAAAACATCTCCATTATTCAATCAACAGTTGGAGTGTCTTATAATAACAAGCACACCCAGGGACCTTATAAAATAACATCTGTACTAGTAGTTACAAAGTTATCACTCTCTACATACTTGGTATGAACTAACTCTTCCCTTTCTATTAAGACCCTACTTACCAAACAGAACTTTTAAATACAGTATATTTACCACTAACTTTGCAATATTTCCCCCGTGAAGTTGCTGAGAGCTTCTGGAAAGGCCTCCACTTTTCTCTGATCTGATTTTCATCAGTGTCAAGGATTTAGCCTTGTTCTAATAATTTGATGACACAGTTCTTAATCCTATTAACCTAACGTTTTGAGATTAAGACGATGATTTAAAACTTGGAAGGGTTTAGAAACAAACACTAGGAGGCAGACTGTGCCCGTGATCAGGAACAATGGCCGTAGACTGTTTAACACAAATATGTTTTGATAGGACTCATTAAAGCCTTAAAATTATTTTTAAATGTACGACGTATGACATGTATATTCCTGTGTAGGTCAATTTTTTTTCTTAGATTAAAATTAAGCAATAATTTGAAATTGAGTAAGTAAAGTTTTAGGGTAAACATTTTGTAAAGAATATTTACTTGGTTGGTCTTTTTGACTATATACACATTTTAACTAGATAAAGTGATAAGATCTAGCATATAAATAATGTAATAGATAAGGATTTCAGGCCCACTGCGTGGTGCAAACAGTAACTTCCTCAGCTGCTAACCAAAAGGTTAGAGGTTGGAGCTTACCCAGAGGTGCCTTGAAAGAAAGGCCTGGCCATGGACTTCTGAAAAATCAGCGATTGAAAATCCTATGGAGCTCAGTTGCACTCTGACACACTTAGGGTCACTATGAGTCGGAATAGATTCTATGGCAACTGGTTTGGTTGGTTACAATTTGCTAATAAATTAGATGAACTGAAAATTTGACACCTAAATGATTCCTTCAAAAATAATTTAAAGAGCTATCAAACCCAAAAAACCCAAACCCATTGCCTTCGAGTTGATTCTGACTCTTAGTGATCCTACAGGACAGAGTAGAACTGCCCTATGGGGTTTCTAAGGAGCACCTGGTGGATTCAAACTGCTGACCTTTGGGTTAGCAGTCGAACCCTTAACCACTATGCCACCAGGGTTTCCAAACAGCTATTAGTCCTGTTAAAAAGCAAAGATGTCACTTTAAGGACTAAGGTGCGCCTGACCCAACCCATGGTGTTTTTAATCACCACATATGCACATGAAAGCTGGACGATGAATAAGGAAGACCAAAGAAGAATTGACGCATTTGAATTATGGTGTTGGTGAAGAATATTGAATATGCCATGGACTTCCAGAAGAATGAACAAATCTGTCTTGGAAGAAGTACAACCAGAATGCTCCTTAGAAGCAAGGATGGAGAGACTTCCTCTCATGTACTTTGGACACGTTATCAGGAGGGATCAGTAGCTGGAGAAGGACATCATGTTTGGTAAAGTAGAGGGTCAGCGAAAAAGAGGAAGACCTGCAATGAGATGTATTGACACAGTGGCTACAACAATAAGCTCAACCATAACAAAGATTGTGAGGATGGCGTAGGACTGGGCAGTGTTTCCTTCTGTTGTACATAGCGTGGCTATGAGTTGGAATCAACTCCGCAGCACCTAACAACAACGTAAACAATTAGTCCTGAAGCCAGATCTGGGACCTACAGCAACGAGTCTTTCAGTTGCTGAAATCTCAGGATCTTTTGATGGCCATGTCTTGGTTATCTAGTGCTGCTGTAACAGAAATACCACAAGTGGATGACTTTAACAAGAGAAATTTATTCTCTCACAGTCTAGTAAACTAGAAAACCAAACCCATTGCCGTCCAGTCAATTCCGACCCATAGTGACCCTATAGGACAGAGTAGAACTGCCCCAAAGAGTTTCCAAGGAGTGGCTAGTGGATTAAAACTGCCAACCTTTTGGTTAGCAGCCAAGCTCTTGACCACTGTGCCACCAGATCTCCGGGTTTCGTAGGCTAGAAGTCCAATTTCAAGTCAGCTTCACAGGAAGGCTTTCTCTCTCTGTTGGCTCTGGAGAAAGGTCCTTGTCATCAATCTTCCCCGGTTGAAGAGCTGCTCAGGATGCACTCTGCTCCTAGCACTACTTTCTTGGCGGTATGAGGTCCCCCTGTCTCTCTGCTCGCTTCTCTCTTTTATATCTCAAAAGAGATTGGCTTTAGACAAACCTAAGCTTGTAGATTGAGTCCTGTCTCATTAACACATAATTGTCCCTAATCCTGCCTCACTGATATCATAGAGGTAGGATTTACAACACATAGGAAAATCACATCAGATGACAAAATGGTAGACAATCACACAATACTGGGAATCATGGCCTAGCCCAGCTGACATACATTTTTGGGGGACACAATTCAATCCGTAACAAGCCCCCTTTGAAAGTTTTTAGAGACTAATCAGTCAATACTTATTATGTGCTCAGTCCTTTTCTAAGAGGGTAGACCTTGACAGTTCTGCAAGGGTCCCCTGACATTGGAGGGCCCTTAGAAGTTGGTCCTTGGCTCCGAGCAACTTGCACTGAGTTTAACTCAGCTCCATTTGGACACTGAGAATATGCCCAGGACACACACTCCAAGTCCAGGACCACACCCCAACTCAGCTGTCTTGATTACTCGCTAATTATCTGTTATAGTTGGAAACCTCTAACTTAGCTCTGCTGGAAAAATAGATCAGCTCAAAGCAAAACTTCAATTGTTATTTTTTTTAAGCAGCCTGATTTTACTTTTGAGCAATTAGAATCAACACCTATAAACAAATGTGTCCTATCCTGAAAGATAGGTTGGCCAACAGAGGAAGCAGCACTTTGAGTATTTTTCTCAGGAAGAGAAGAGCAGCGTTCTGCAAAAGTAAATCATAGGAAATTGTCTGGCTCTACTCTAACACTGAGCAGCCTCTCTCATTAGTTTGCTCTTTTCCAAGTTTGGGCCCATTTGAAGTCATGCTGGCTCTGCATGCACCTTTTCAACAAGGCTGTAATTCCAAGCCCTCATTTCATTGAAAATGAAACCCACTTTAGGTAGTCTGGTGGCTCACTCTTTAGTGACAGATTTCTTTCTTAGTACTTGTTCCCCCTTTAAGTATAATTTCTAAGAACAGAACTTTATTGCTAACTAGTACTAATTACTTTTAAAATATCTTGATGCTTCCACTAAGGTTCTTCCTCTAGTTACTTCTTCTGTTTTCACAGCTGCCATTTTGTTCTTAACATTGAGCAATAGTTCATGCAAATCCTGGTACTTTTATGATTATGACATCATTATGTTCAAGATTTAAGGGGATTCTAAAATATTACAGCGCGCTCGTTGGTAAGTAAGTAGATCTAGAAGCAAAGGCATCTTAATTAAGAAAGACAGCAAGAAAATGCTGTGGAACCAAATGAGAAAAAGAGAAATTGGACAGATGGACTTCAAAATATTAGCTTTACTACTGCTAAGCTCAGGCTTGGATAGAGTGACTTAGATGTGTGGCCTTAATGGACCTGGTAGTATGTCAACCCTGAGCTGAATTTGCCCAGCCTGCCACTGGCACAGCAGACAACCTTCAGGCTCCCAGATGGGACACTTACTAGGCAGAGAACAGACCAGGGAGTATGTATGTGGAGACAGCTCCAGTCAACAACGTCAGTGGTGTCCTCTGGGGTAAGCAGCCCTGTAGCCCTGCATGTGTCCTGCAGACAAACTAGGATTTTCTGTCTTGAACCAGTAAAATTTGGAAAGAGAAGGATATCGAGAGAATAGCTAAGGAGTTCTCCACAACTGAGATCCGTGAACTAATGGATTCGCTCATGAGTCATATATCTTATTCCTGCGTTGTAGGGTGAGAAACAGGAGGGTCAGAGGCCAGGATTGTTACCCTGGTAGAAGTTCCTCCACACAGTAATAGGAGATGGTAGGAAAGTCAGTCCTCCTCCATCCCCCCACCCTGCCCCCTCAAAATCAAGGAGGGAATGCGTAAGAGAAATAAAATGAAAGACAAAGGCTTAAAAACTCTAAGTTATTCATTTAGATTATAATAGTAATTAATGTTACCAGACTAGTTTCCTTCTTTCTCCCTCCATCCCTTCACCCTTGTTTCCTTCCTTCTTTTCTTCTCATCTCCATGTATTCAGCCATTCATTTAATAAACTTAAAGGACACAATTCATATTAAAAAGCAACATTTTATAAGTGGAGTACAAATATTCATTAAAAAAAGACTGGTTGAC